TATAAAATTTTTTAAAATGCATGTAATAAATTTTCCTCTTTTTATAGATGTAGTATATGGCTCATTTCATTTAAATTGTATATATTTACCTTTTATATTTATATAAATTCAAATTAATATATAATAGAATTGTGTTCTTTGCATTAAAGCGAACAGATTGGTAGATATAAAATATAAATTTGTCCTAAAATTATTAGAAATTTTCTTCTTTTTTTCATTTTATAAAATTTGAAATGTTCTCATTTTGCGATTCAATCTTCTTTAAGGAAGATAAGTTATGTTTTTAAGTTTTTTCACCACTTTGAAATTTTTAAAAAATCAAAAAAAAATTTGTTGCTTAAATTACGCTTTATAGGCATAGAAATGGTATGCTATATGGACCCGGCGAAGCTAATTAGAGGTAATTTTTAATTTAATCATTGTTAATCAGAACCAAACTGTTAACAAAACTTTAAACGCGTTTTTCTCAAAACTACATTTGAAAAATCGGTGGGCACTCTAGCTGACACAAATTTCAATCGATCCTCTACGTTTTTTTATTTTGTTTGAGATATAATTATCTAGCAAAATACGTACGGATTTTTCGAAATATTAATATTTAAATTTTCTAGACAACTTTAAGTAACGAAATTTTGGCAAAAATAAGCACTTTTTCCTTAAAATCGATGCCATTTTTCGAAAAATGCATTTTTTTTAAAACGGCTACGTATTCCTCTAGATTTTGAGTTGCAGAAACTAATGCTTTTTTTATCTAGCTCAATTCTGGAACAAGTTATGGTGCCCACCGCACGGGAATACATTTTTGAAGCTCTCCGACATATTATCTGTCAGACCGACATTTTTGAAAACAAAAATGTTTTTCTAGTTCAAGAGTAGTATAATACCCTACTGTATTTTAATTTTCTTGAAAAATTTCTATTCTTCAATAAAAATTGTTGAAAAAGCGTATTTTTTGGGCAGGTCAAAGTGGTGTAACCTCTTAAGGACGTTTATCCACGGAAATGCAGACCTCTAGAAAAAAATATTTAATTAACATTTAAATAATTAAAAAAATATTATTAATTGTACTTTCTAAAAGATGATATATAAATTTTCAAGAAAAAAATTTAAAACCTCCAAAATTTATTTGTTTATACAATTTGCATAGGATAAAATTTTTTTGTTGTATCGTTTCTACAGAATTTTTTAAAAATGATTCGATTTCAATCCAATATGGCTTATGTCCTTTAGAAAATGATTCTCTACAACTTTACCGTGGGGATTTTTAAACAAGCAAGCCATTTGGCAAGTACAGTTTAAAAAAAATGTTTAAAAAAATTCAAATTTTTCTTTTAAAAAAATATAGCTGTATTTTGTATCTCTGTGTTGATACTATTATTTGTAGTAGATTTTACTATCTTTTACTATTGAATAAGTTAAAATATAATTATTATTGCTGAGTAGTCATATTAAAATTATATTAGCGTGAAGTAATTTTTATTATTTTTAGAAATTTTATTACAAAAGAATGAGGAACATAATATAATTGTATCAATGTAATTTATCCTAATATTTTTACTGTAATCACGAAGTAGTATAAGGAGGCCCCACTACTGTGTTTCTTTAAACTAATATAAGTATCTCCTCTAGCTGGAAATTTTATAAGATTATACTATTAATATAAAAATTTCTTTGCGAATGACTGAATGACTGAAAGACAATTACAAACAATTTTGAAAGATAATTATGTAATTGTAGAATTTAAGTCAGAAATGTTTATTTACTTACAAAAATGTATAAATGTTACGATTGTTGAAAAATCCCTTTGAATGTTTATAATAAAAATACTTATTACAAAAACTATGTTTTAAGTGTCTGACTAACTATACAATTATAGAATATAAGTCAGAAAATTTTTATTTGTACCTACTAAAAGTGGTACTAATATCTAGAAATCTTAAGATTGTTCATAAAAACCTTTAAAAGTTTATAACAAATGATTAAAAAATAATAGTAAATTATATATTGGCAATAATTATTTTATTTATTACGCGTAAAATCATTTGCTTTAATTTAAACAACTAAAAAATCTGAGCGGCACAACCAACCCCGGCGTCGGCACAACACTCCTTAGCGCGGAGTTCGACGTGCCGCGTCGCCTCGCTGCACAAAATCATTTCTTACAAAAAAAATGTTTAAAATTATAAAAAAATAATAATGGATTTAAAAACTACATTGAATTTTACTATAAATAGACTATAAATTAAAACAAAAAGTTGTCATTTTACAAGAATTTTCTTCAGTTTTCTTAAAATCGGTAAATTCAGCCCCGCCCGTGTAGAAAAATTTCGGGGCGCTGGTAGGACACTGGACAGACTGTCTAACGTCTCTATAGACCCAGGCCAGACGGTCTTGTCGAGCCCCTGATCAGAAGTGGAACGAAAGTTCCATGCTACGGTCTAGAGTTAGACAAGCTGGCCAGGTCTTGATTCTCGCGTTCAATAATTCTTAATAATAATAGTAATAATAATAATAATCCTATGAATATTACGTATTATTATATTTATAGATAAAATTAAAACAATATTAGTATTCATTAATAATATGATTTTAATTTATTAATAATAAGGAGATAAGTTGTATTGGAATCTTATAACTTATCTACTCATTTAATTATTATTAATAATTTCAAAAAAAATTTATTATTATTTAATTAATTTAATCCGAAGTTTTTTACTATTTTTGTTTCATCACTTAAGATTAATTAACAACACCTGTGGAAATAACACCTAATTTAATTTGAAAAATCTCGCTCGCACTGGGCACCGAACCCACGACCTAACACTCGCAAACCTACAACGCTAACCACGGGGCCACGCTGGCTACTTGGCGACAATCTGTTAATACCGGTGATGTTTTTGGCGCGCCTTTATGCTAAATTCAAAATGTTTTTATCCTTAAATTACATATATATTTTTAATATAATTATAAAATTATTTCTATTTATATAAAAGCCATATCCATTGCCTTTATTGTTAAATATATTATAATATATATTAAAAATAATATTGTTTTTTAACGTTATATTAATGATTTATCATCTCTACAATGTATCAAATAATAATTCTTTAATTATTACAATATTATAGGTATAATTATAATGAATAATATTGTAATAATACATAATAAAGATGATAAATTATTATAATATAAACCGTGTGGAAAAATTTTGTGGAAGTCTAGCATCTAGAAATAGTCTTACCAGTCATAGGCAATCCCGTCTAAACTAGTCGGTCTTGCAATTCGCTAAGAAGCGTTTCAATAGACGTAGTCGAGTTCGTCTTATCTAGACCGTTTTTCAAGACTCAAGCCAGCGACTTTACAGCGCTATTTGACAAACGTGTAGGTTATGGTCGTTTGCGATTGTCAGCGTATTTTTACAGTTGTTGCACTTTTGTGAAATTCTTTTTTTTGTAAAATGCTTTTGTAAAATACTTTTGTAAAATACTTTTGTGAAATACTTTCGTGAAATACTTTTGCGAATTACTTTTGTAATTGTGTACAAATATTATTAAATAATATATTTTTTACAATTTTTACTAATTACAATTTAATATATTTTATAATTAGTAATTAATATTATTTAAATTAATATATATTGTACAATTGGATATGTCGAATTTGGGTGTAATAAATTTTAAATATATTTTTAGTTTTGTTAAAAACTACTTTTTAGTTTGAGGTTATGTTAATGGATATATAATATAAAAATAAATAAATTCGTGACAAAGTTTTTTCTTCGATTAAAAAAATAAATTTCAAAAATCTATAAAAAAAACAAAAGAATATTTTTATTGAAATTAACAGCAATATATAAGGGTGATTCTCTCAAAAAGGACAAATTACGCTTTTAAGATATTTTGTTAAAAAATATGAAAATTAATTAAAATTATTTAAAATTCTGTCAGCCATGCGTTAGGATTTAACAATTTTCAATCGGACCACTAAAGAAAATTTTAAAAAAAGGTAAAATAACTGAAATATTGAATAAAAACTGATGTTACGGAATGGAGTTTTAACACTAGTTTTCATTTAATAATTCAGTTGTTTGCCATTTTTTTGAAATTTTCTTTAGTGATCCCATAAAAATTTGTTGAATTTTATCGTATGGCTGGAAGAATGTTTATTAGTTTAAATTAATGTTATTATTTTTTAACAAAAACCTCGTCCAAAATTGTGCACAAATAATTTGTTCTTTTTGAGAGAATCACCCATAAATATAATTTAAATAATATTAATTACTAATTATAAAATATATTAAATTGTAATTAGTAAAAATTGTAAAACATATATTATTTAAAAATATTTGTACACAATTACAAAAGTAATTCGCAAAAGTATTTTACAAAAGTATTTTACAAAAGCATTTTACAAAAAAAAGAATTTCACAAAAGTGCAACAACTGTAAAAATACGCTGACAACCGTAAACGACCATAACCTTCACGTTTGTCAAATAGCGCTGTAAAGTCGCTGGCTTGAGTCTTGAAAAACGGTCTAGATAAGACGAACTCGACTACGTCTATTGAAATGCTTCTTAGCGAATAGCAAGACCGACTAGTTTAGACGGGCTTGCCTATGACTGGTAAGTCTATTTCTAGACGCTAGACTTCCACAAAATTTTTCCACACGGGCGGTCTCCCCTACTTCGTGACTGTAATATTTAAGACTATACAGAACTAAGACCTAACCTGTAAATTGACAGTTGTTCTGTAAACTCGAATTGGAGCATATGTTAAGATTGATATTATCTAGTTTTGATACTGAACTCGTAATACGCAAGAAAAATAAGTTCATGTTCTTTCTGTGCTGTTCTGTTACACGAAAGAATCTATTTGATTACTTTGACCGCAACCTAGGTGTAAAATCTATTAGTATAGTTAAACCAAAAACAATAATATTTTAAACTGATATTTAAATTTTTACATTAATGTTTTTCAATTTATTTTCTTTTATCTGCTAGTAATCCTCTTCATCGACTAAAATTAAGATTGGCTATTCAAGAGATGGTGTCACTGACAAGTCCTTCTGCACCAAAGACATCACGTACTACATTAGCTTTCGGAGACATGAATCATGAATGGATTGGAAATGTTTGGCTTCCCAGTCTTGGTTTACCACAATATCGGTCAACCTTCATGGAGTGCCTTGTAGATGCCAGAATGTTAGACCACCTAACTAAAAAAGACCTTCGAGGACAACTTCGAATGGTTGATAGTTTCCATAGGTAATATTTTATCTAAAATTAATGTATGCCATTTAACCTAATGCAAGCTGCCATGGAAATTCGCTTTTTAACAATCGTAACGTAGGCGAGAATTTCGGCAGTGAGCCGAAAAATTGTCAAAAATAAAATTAATATTGTTAAATCAAATTTATCTAACTTAAGTGATTGGTTAAATTTCTGTATATGATGGATTTCACGTCAAAAGTCCAAGCAAAAGAAAAATTTTATCCAAGCTATCCACAATTTTTTTATGAGTTGTCCTATACGTTGGTAATTTATCAGCCAAATATTTTTGAATTTTATGAAAAATTAGCAGTAGGGGACGGGGTAAAAGTTTTGAATCTTTTTATGACACACTATACTTTGTTTATTTATTATACTTAAACGAAAAGATAAAACATAATTTCTGGACATGATTCCTTTAGATTTTTTGATACTCTTTCGATTGGCGTAGTCAATTCAAAAAAAATTTTTGAATATAAGAAATAAATTTTGATCAATAGTTAATTAAATAATTTTTATATTTTAATAACTATTTTATATAAAGAAAATATTTTTTTTGTCAATATTTTTAAAAATACATTATATTTAAAAAAACTTAAAAAAACAAATTTGAAACATGTAAAAACAGCGGTACCGTGTATTTGTTAATTAAGGGTTGTTTAAAAAATGTTATGTCTAAATATGAATTAAAGTAAGTATTAGCGATCGTTTCTCACCTGTAAAAAGAAAAGTTTTGCAAAAAAAAAATCAATCCTTCGATTAAAGACTAGATTATTATGTATTGAAATAGTATGTTAAGTAGCAAGTGGACAAAGCTCGGTATTTCTTTACGAAACCAAGGTCGGGAACACGAGTAGTAGCGAGGGCGCCGAAGCCCCCTGACTAAAAAAAATACTCTCAAAAGAATAAATAAATTTACTCACTGCTATTTCTTGAGTTCGACTTAGAAATGTTATTTTATGGAAAGCACCTTTTAAAGCGCCGCCACATAGGTGAAGGTATTGGGGGCGAAGCCCCCCGAAACAAGATCGTATATTTAAAAGATATAATTATATATACAATATATATATAATAATTTATTAATAAAAGAAAATTTTATTTAGTTCTTAAATTATTTACATTTATTATTATCACAAAGTGAACATTAAACTTTTCCTTACAGTAAATAGACTTTAATATATTAAACTTACACAACAAACTTTAATAGAATTTTACAAAATAAAATATTATTTTATTTCTCAAATTATTATTAATATTTAGAAATATCACCATAGTATCACAGAACAAAACGTTAAACTTTTTCTTACATTATTCAATAAGTATAAAAATAAAATAAACACTTTACAAATTCACAAAAAACTAATAATTCAAGATGAAAAAATGTATTATTTATAGATTTAAAACTGTAAGTTATTGAAAAGTACTAATAATTTTGGTCTTACCAAAATTATTAAAAAGACGAAACTAAGGTGAAACTTTTTTTGGATTTTCAATTTTATAGAATCTTATTGAGCACTGAAAATAACGTTTAATAAATTCGCAATATCGTAATTATTCAACATTTTAAAGTAAACTATAAATTTGCGAATGCGCGATTTATTTTAAGTCTGGAATGTTCATTTAAATTTAATGTTTTTTTCTTGTCAGTTATTTTCAGAATAAACTTCTACAACAAATAAGTCTTTATAAATCAATATTGCGTTTGATCTAATTATGATTGTTTAAAATCATAAAATAAACATCAAACTTGTAAATAATCTTATTTTAAAGTCAAAATGAATGGTTTATAAACTCTCAAAAAAATGAATATTTTTAATAATAAAATAAACTAAATTAGCGAAAAGTGATTTTGAAGAACTGATAACAATGTAGTTATTTAAAACTAAATGTTACATTGCAATTTGAGAAATTGAAATTTTTTTCTCGTAATGCATTGTTTGATAAGATCTCTGAAGCTGCGACTTCGCTAGAATTATTTTCATCCACAATTTTTTTTGTGTTTTATTTGCTAGCGATTCTTCGATATAACCTTCTGCCACAGAGTTACTCTTCCACCCTCCATGCCTTTTTAGAGTTTCGATGTTTGCTCCTCCATCCTCTAAAATCGTTGAAGAACTCCTTCTGAAGGAGTGACCTGTGAAGCCCTTTGCATTTGGCAAATTTTGAATTTTTAAAAACTGACCTCAGATTCGTAATCAGCAACCCAAAAATCCCCTAGTAACAAGTTTCATTAGAATCTATTCATTTTTTAACTTCTCTGTCCGCCATATTGGATCTGCCATTTTGAATTTTCAAAAACTGCCCTAGATTCGTATTCAGCGACCACAAAAACCCCCGAGTAACAAGTTTCATACAAATTCAGCGAAGCAATTTGGAGGAAACAGTTTTGTCCAGCTAGATTCGGGTTTCAGACCACTGTGCGAATACAAGTTCAATTTAAATTTTTAAAAATTAAAAATGACTGTTCTGTTATAGCGAAAATATCTATTTAGATTAATTGAATTTAATTGATATTCGTTATAAAACAAAATTTTATTTTAGAAATATGGTGAACTTCATAATGTAATAATTATAGGTTATGTTTGGTAAAATTTTAATATATAATAAAATATTAAACTATGAGTCAATCCACGAGTGCGACAAGGACGCTCTTATGCAATATTCTATAAGCGTCTCACTTGCACTAACGCTTCTCTATTCTTCATATTTTTGTCCTCATACAGTATATATATATGGAGTAAAATTCATGTAGCGAACTAAGTGAAAAAAAAGTTTTGTGTATTTAGTATTCATATTGAGGTTTCCATGTAATAAAATATGAATAATAAATTGTTTTTTAAGGTTAATTCTGCAAAAAAATAGTAATTGGAATGATTCTTGAAAATTTTTTTCAAATATATATTTTTTCTTTTTTGCATTGCACATACTGAGTGAAACTGCCACAGCATGCTCCGGAAGAGCAGGTCTTAGTTTTTCATTTTCTAGGATTGATTTCCCATCCATTGATGCTTTTCTTATCGCTTCAGAGGTGAATAATTCTAAAATTATTCCTCTTGCTAAAACATTCTCAGTTTGAGCTCGACCGATTGTCTTTTTAAGCCACTTTTATTGATAAAAACTCCGCTATCATTACCCAATTCAATGACCTACAAAATATATTTTATATTATTCGATTCAAGAAGTCTTAGCACTGTAAAGTAACCTCAAACTAAAAAATCGGACAACTGCAAGTTGCAAAATTTATTATTGAATTAAACTTATTTTCAAAAATTTAAACTATATAAATGTCCAGTTTTTATAATTCCAATCAATTTTAAATTAATTACAAATTCCAAAAAAATTCAGTATTAATTAATCAAAATATTCATTGATTAAAATTTTAATCGACTTTAGATTTAACTCATCCAAATTTTAATTTTCTTTAGTAAACTTAATGCAATAAATATTGTGACTTTTTGAAATTTGTATTGAATAAATTTGAAGTTGATCACAATTAGGAGAATTGCTGAGTTTAATTATTAAAAAGTTAATATTTATTTAATATATTATATTAATGGTTAATAGAAAATGTTTTTCCTAATCTAATTAAAAATTTTAATAGTTCAGAAAAGGAAGGTCAGAGAAAAAACAGAGAATTTTTTTTCTTATATCCTGCTGGACACTCGAGTTAAATGATATGGAATATGGATAGGTCGCTAACAAATTATTTTGACAAAAAATTTCAAAAATCCTTACTAAGCTGTTTCCGTCATTCTGTAAATTTTCACCATCACATATTTGATTCTCAGTATTGTTTTTACTTTCCGACAAAAGATTTTCATCTTCATCCCAATCACTTAAGCCGTCATCCAAGTAGTTATCTAATTCTTCGTGGCGAACGTGTAACTGCTCCGGTTGTCTATAAACAGATTCCAATTCTTCGTAAATGATGACAAACTGCTCGTATTCCGAAAGAAGTTTTTGTCGATCCAGAAATTTTAAATAAATTTTTACGAAAACTTCAAAAGCATCGCTGGGAATTGACAGCAGGTTTTTTCGTAGCTCTTTTATTCTGCTTTTTGACAATAAAGAAAGATCTTTATAAATTCCTACATTGACATCTGAAAATCTTTGTTTGAGATTTGCGATTATATAGTCAAGACAATAATAAAATGTATTAATTTTGTAGGACTCCAACGGATTTTCAATTTGTTCGTGTGCAGCTAATTCTCCTGGCATCCTTTTTTTTCGTCTTAACCGTGTTTTAGGAAGCGGTGTGATGTTGTCAATCGCAGATTTCTTTACAAACTCTTTATAATCAACTTGGATTTTATTAAAATTAATTTCTGATCTTAACTTTTGAAGATTTTCTCTATTGTTCTCGATGACCCTTCCAGCAGCTAATAAATCTAGATCTTGTTTTTGAAAAAGTAAATTCATAGGTCCTATTTTTTTAAAAATTTGTTTAAAATACATTGCAAACGAAAGCTGAGGTTTTTTCCGATCTGTTTATAAATTTCCAGAATGCCGATTTTTTTTGTTTTCGAGATATTAAATGTTAAAGATCGGCATTGTGAAAATTTAGAAACAGATCGGAAAAAACCTCAGCTTTCTTTTGCAATTATTTATTTAAAAAAAATTTTTAAAAACAAAATTCACCATTTTTGAGAGCATGAAAAAACCTTCAAAAAACATACCTGCCAAAATTTTTGTATTGCAATTATAGAAAGAAAAAATTTAAACAGTAGGCGGTGTCAGGGAAAACTGATAAAATTGACCCCCTCTATCTCCCCCAAAATTTCAAAAACGTCAAAAATTTTTTGGGGATATTTTACTATCAGGTAGGACAACAATTTCCCCAAGTTTCACTTTTTTCGAGAAATCAATTTTTTAACTCAGGACATTACACATAAAATGCCTCACATATATATATTATTATATAACACAGGCACACAAAAAAAAATTGTCTGTTTCTTGAACTAGACATATATTTCCTATAGTATTTTGGACCGCTGAAA